TGTCAGCCTGTGGACTGAAGGGTCCCAGGTTCGATTTTGGTCAAGGGCATGTACCTTGGTTGAGGGCACATCCCCAGTAGGGGGTGTGCAGGAGGCAGCTGATCGATGTTTCTCTCTCATTGATATTTCTAACTCTCTATTCCTCTCCCTCTCCATTCCTCTCTGTGAAAAAAATCAATAAAATATATATTTTTTAAAAAGTAAAAGACTGAATGGTTTCCCAGTAAAATCAGGATAAAGGATGGCTGCTGACAACATTTCTGTGTAGCACAGACAGTACCACAGGTTCTAACTGTAAACAAGGCTACTAGAATTAGTGAGTTAGCAAGGTTGCAGAATACAAGGTTAATATATTATACAACAATCACCTGATAAAACTCCAAGCCACTATATGCACAGATTACATAGCGAGTGGGTTGGCTCCTCCACAATCTTTAAGGTATAAGAGTCCCAGCCATTCATTATCATCTTCCTCCTGAGTTATTTTGAAATGGTTCTCTCTCATTCTCTCTCTCGTTCCCCCTCTCTCTCTCTCTCTCTCTCTCTCTCTCTCTCTCTCTCTCTCCTCTCTCTAACTTGGCTGTAGTATTGGTGCTAGAATATACATAATATGGATCATTATTAGACCTCAACCAATCTTCTTTTCTCTCTTCCGCCTCTCCTCCCCTGTCGGATGTACTGTATGTATGCAGTCATAACCTTTGTATTAGTAGATTAGAAATCTACAAATCTGTTTTGTACTTTTATACTGATGGATACTTATGATCACAACTTTTACTAGATTACTGAATACATTTAGTTTTTTCAGGAAATAAAAAATCGACTGATAAACTAATTCTAGTATGTGCTGCCAAAGTGAGCACAATAAATTAATTCTAAAATTGATATAAAAAGACCAAGGACCTAGAATAGTTAAAACAACTTTCAAAAGTAAAGTTGGAGGGATAAAACTGCCTGGATTCAGGATTTGTTATAAAGGTATCGTCTTGAGATCAATGAACAGACTAGAGAATACACAGACCTACATTAGTATGACCAATTCATTCTTTTTAACAAAATTCCAACAGTAGAGGCTATTCATTATATGGTACTGGAAGAAATAAAATTGCTTTACAAGAAAATGAACAACATCAACCTCACAGCTTTTACAAAATTTAACTCAAATAGGTCACTGATCTAAATATAAAACTTTTAAGGGGGGGGAGGGGAATGAGAAGAGATTAACCAAAGAACTTACATGCATATATGCATTACCCATAGGCACAGACAATAGGGTGGTAAAGGCCTGGGGTGGGGCAGGAACCAGATGGAGAGGGGCAATGGGAGGGGAAAGGGTAGACATCTGTAATCTTCTCAACAATACAGATTTTAAAAACATAAGCATAGCCCTAGCCAGTTTGGCTCAGTGGATAGAGCATGGGCCTGCAGACTGAAGGGTCCCAGGTTCGATTCCTGTAAATGGCATGTACCTTGGTTGCAGGCTCAATCTCCAGTCCTGGTCTGGCATGAGCAGGAGGCAACCAATCTATGTTTCTCTCTCCCACCGATGCTTTTCTCCCTCTCCCTTCCACTCTAAAAATCAGTGAAAAAATATCCTCAGGTGAGGAGGAGGAGGAAGAGGCGAAGGAGGAAGAGGAGGAGAAAGAAATAACTAAATAACTAAATAAAACTTTTAGGGGGGAAACCGTAGGAGAAAAGTCTTCAGGGTCTAGGACTAGGCAAAGAGTTCTTAGATTTGACACTAAAAATATAATCCATAAAAGAACGTTTGATAAATTGGACTTGATCAAAATTTTCAAATCTTTGTTCTAGAAAAGATAGAATAAATAGGATGAAAAAACAAACTATAGCCTGGTGGGAAATATTTTCAAATTATATTGCCACAAAGAACTTGTACGCAGAGATAAAAAGACTTGGAAGACAGACTGGGATAAAATAAGTGCAGTCCTTAGCTTCGTGCCTGGCACATGCAAGCATTCAATAAATTTCAGTCATTATAATTGTATCATCATTGCTCTTTAAAATTGAGAAAAGGCAAATGTTCATCAACAGAGAAACTGTTAAATTCTGTTCCATCTACTACAAGGAATATTGAGCACTGGTTGAAGAGAATGCAGTAAATTTATATACTCTAATCTGGAGATGTCCAGTGTTGTGAAGAAAAAAAATATTGGTGGACAATTTTACAGCATGATCTCATGTGTGCAAAAAAGAAAATTATATCTTTGGGAGAAATTTTTCTAGGATGATACTCGCTAAACTGCTAACAGTTGTTATCCCTGGGGAAAGGGGTAGGATAAGGAGCGGTGCACAAAATAGGTAGCATATGGAGGGAAGCTAAAGAGGGCCTTTTACTTGTGGCTCTAGTTAGTCCTAGACTGGTTACCTTTTGACAAGGATCTAGTCCTATATTACTTGGTGAAACCAAGAAGACAAAAGCAAAGCATCAACCATCTTTTCAGAGAGCAGTGATAGAAATGACTTGCCTCATGGAGTCGGAGGGTGAGGCACGAGCTTACCTTGGACCGAAAGACTTAACTGAAAACAGACTCGGCTTCCATTTGTAAGTTAACAGACATTGCAGGCGTGCTGCTTGCCCTGGTTGTGCGACACACTCGCTTTGTTATGTGATATTGTGGTACAAATGGCAGATTGTGGCGTTATCGAGGTCAGGGAGCAAGCCTTTCTTCCTCTGGATCTCCAGCCCGTGCCACAGGGCCTGGCTCAGAGCTGGCGCTCAATTAAAAGGACATGACAAGATCTTAATTAAAGTTGGCTGTGAATAATAGCCCCGTTGAACTGACACGCGGTCGCCATCTAGTGGCCACCAGCGGTTCCTGCAGGGCTTAGAAATGAGAGGAAGGGGACTGAGGTGTATGTATGCTCCAGACACCTTGCAACAAAATAGCAGGACTAAGGCTATGACCCTAATGAAAAGACACCCCCAAGCCTGGGCTAAAAGGCTCAGGGTTACGTCTTTGGGTGTTGGTGACATGGCACTCTTGTGTCTTAAGTCTCTCCTCTATCACCACTCCATCCTCCCAATGCCGCAAACTGTCCAAAGTCCGCACTTGTCCCCCCTCCGTTCACCCCAAAAGAATGAAGCACGTCTGTTAAAAGGTAGAGGCCCTCACGCCTTCCCAGCGTTGATGAAATACTAAGCAACTTTCCTAAGCCAGTTTGGGCTGGACAAGATACAAAGCAGGACTGGGGGGGAAATAGTCCATCAACTTTGCCCTCCAGGTCCCCCATCTTTCTGCATCATCTACTGAAGAAAGGGGACACTCTGAAAATACCGAATACACCTCAAAACGCCTCCCATCCCCAAGGGCGGCCAGGAAACCACCCCAAGCCGGCCTGGTAAGCACCCCCCACTGGGACAAACTCACTTGGCCAGAAAGATCGCGGGGGGGGGGGGGGGGGGCGGCAGGTTTTCCTCTCTCGCCTCCTTTGAATATCAGTGAGTCTGCAAAACAGCTTCACTGTTGTTTTTGAGGGAAGCAGCTGGGTGGTTCAGAGGCTGCGAGATGTTGGACCTTGTGTTTGCGGACTTGGGGGGCTCAGAAAGAATCAAGAAGGGGCACCCTGGGAGGCCAGCTGAGAAATCCCCGAATGTATACATCGGATCTGGGACATCTGCGCGCTGAGCAGAACAACGTTCCCGCCAACTGTTGCTCAGCAGAATAAACAACAACAACAATAAATTAATTAATTAATTAAAGAAAAGAAAAGAAAGAAAAGAAACACCTTTCCGTAGACTCCCAAGAGGATACCGTCTAGCATAGGGTCAGGTGGGGAATGGGGCCTTATAGGATCAAGGGAGAGTATACATCCACGCTTCAAGTTCGCTTCTAATCCCACCTCCTCCACTTCCACACAGTATGTGCCTCATAAACGTAGCAAGGAAAACAGTGGGGGAATTGGCTGCAACTCGGACACCAGTTTGGGACGATGCCATACACAAGAGATTTGTGGGTGGGCTGCTGGGGAGCGGGGCAGACATGAGTGTGTGTGTGCGTGTATGTGCGTGCGTGTGTGTGTGTGTGTGTGTGTGTGTTGCTAGCACCCTGCTCCGGACTTGCAGAGAAATTGGGAATTCTGAACAACATGGATCCATCAGGCTACTCCCAGCCTAAAAAAAGCCAGCCCTGGTATCTATTTATATGCAAGTCCCTGAGGACTGAAGTGGCTCTTCCTAATGGATGAAGAACATTCAGTAGCAATCAAGTCTTGAAGGGGAATGTTTTTAAGACCTTATGCCGAGGGTGCTGATGGAGATAATGAGCGCCCGAGCGGTGCGCAGTGCATTTAACATGGTAATGGACTTGGGTAGATGTGCTGGTAGGGAGATGTGTCCTTCCCTTATTGCTCACTAGCAGAAGTCCACGGTTCCTGCTGGTACTGGGGCGGGGGGAAAGCGACGTGTCAGCATAAAGAAAAAGCTGAGAAGAGACAGCATGAGAAACGAGTTACACTCCGTGGAAGGTTCCAGATAGGAGTGTCCGATGACAACTACAGGGAGAGCACTCCTTACGGTCCAAGTGGAAGGCAGGCCCGGTCCCGCCGGGCTTCTCCCTACCCCCTGCCCTGTCCTCCTCGCCGGGCTTCTCCCTACCCCCTGCCCTGTCCTCCTCGCCGGGCAATGGGACTCGGGGCCACCCCTCTCTCTCTCCGGGGACGGGGGATTCAGTCGCGATGTCTCTCTCCCTCCGGCCGCTCGTGCACCGAGCCCGGCGCTGCAGCCCCAGCCCGCCTTCCTCCCCTCGGGTCCGCGGCGATCGGAGCTGCCGGCCCCGCGATCGCGAGTCCCCGGGCCCCTGCCCGCCGCCGGGACACTGGCTCGACGTGCGATTTCGCTTTCGGTGGATCGGCCTCGCCTGCAGCCCCGGGAGCTGGGAGCGGCTGCCGTTTGGGGCGCAGACAAGCCCGGGGCTCCCGGCGGCCACCCCGCGGGCGGGGACCCCGAGACGCGAGGGTGGGCGGCTGGCGCCCCTACTCACGTAGCGCTGCAGTTTCCTCTCGGGGGGCGACTTGACGAGCCAGCCGGTGCACACAGCGTCGCCCGCGCTCATCGTGGCCGCTGCCGCCGCCGCCGCCCCTTCCTCCAGCTGGGTCGGCCGGCCTCGGCAGGAGGAAGTCGGGCCAGGGATTCCGACGGGGCGGGCCCAGCGCCCGCCCGCCCGCCCAGCGCCGCCCCGTGCGGCCCCGCGACCCCCGCCTCCGGCCGCTCCCCCCCCCGCACCCCCCCCGCGGGGACGGGCGCCACCGCCCGCGGCGCGAGGCAGCGGGGGAAGCAGGCGGCTGAGCCCGGGGAGCCCCTTCGAGCAAGAGCCCAGCCCAGTGCCTGGGGCCGGACCCCCGGAGAGCGCTCGGAAGGAGCCCCTCCACCTAAGGGGAGCGCAGCGCGCAACTGTCCCCCGCGCCCTCGCCCCCACCGGCCACCAGTCACGTCAAAAGGGCCGGTGCAGGCGCCCCGGAGTCCCTGAAGCTAAAACCTGGGCTTCGCACCTGCCATGCATATAGCCAGGCAGTGAATGACCTCCCTGAGCCGCTGGGCTGTTTGCAGAAAAGTGGTGCTTTCAAATGGCATTTGGGGATACTCATTTTAAGGTGATTTTTGAGAAACAAAAGACTCAGCCAGGAAACGGGCGACCCTAAAGCGGGGTGTGGGGTGTGGGGGACGGGAAAAGATTAGCCAAAGACCTTGTATGCATATATGCATGGCCCCTGGACTCAGACAATAGCGTGGTGGGGGCCTGGGGTGAGGCAGGCACTGGGGGGAGGGAGGGAAGGGGGAAGGAAATAGGGGACATCTGTAATACTGTCAACAATAAAAAATGAACCTAAAAAAAGAAAGAAAAGACTCAGAAAGAACCTTTAAACCACCACCACCACCACCCCTTTCTTGCCTAAGAGATTCAGATGGAAAAACCTACTTTAAAAAGCATTACTGCCCTAGCTGGTTTGGCTCAGTGGATAGGACTGAAGGGTTCCGGGTTCGATTCTGGTCAAGGGCATGTACCTCGGTTGCAGGTTCCCTGGCCCTGGTCGGGGTGGGTGCAGGAGGCAACCAAAGATGTGTCCCTCTCACATGGATGTTTCTCTGTCTCTCCCTCTCCCTTCCACTCTCTCTAAAAATCAATGGAGCCCTAGCAGTTTGGCTCAGTGGATAGAGCACTGGCCTGCAGACTGAAGGGTCCTAGGTTTGATTCAGCTCAAGGGCGTGTACCTTGGTTGTGAGGACATCCCCAGTAAGGAGTATTCACGAGGCAGTTGATCCGTGTTTCTAACTCTCTATCCCTCTCCCTTCTTCTCTGTAAAAACTCAATGAAATATATATTTTTAAAGATATATTTTATTGATTTTTTTAGAGAGGAAGTGAGAGGGATAGCGAGTTAAAAACATCAATGAGAGAGAAACATCAATCAGCTGACTCCTGCACATCCCCCACTACGGATGTGCCCGCAACCAAGGAACATGACCGGAATCAAACCTGGGACCCCTCAGTCCATGGGCTGACGCTCTATCCACTGAGGCCAAACCGATTATGGCAATGAACTATATTTTTTAAAATCAATGGGAAAACATCCTCAGCTGAGGATTAACACACACACACACACACACACAAAAGCACTTCTTAAAACAGTCACTTCTAGGGTTCATCTTCTAGTTCAGACACCACCCTACCTCAATATTCTATAACCTCTATCGACCTTTCCTTACGTGTATACTAAGATGGAGAGAGAAGAAAGATTAGGAAAATTTACACACACGGGTACTACGATCCTCATTTCTAGAACTGGTTTTGATAACTTCCTCCTCCCACTACGCTCCCTGTCCCTCCCCCCACCCCCTTTGCTCTGCAACCAGGACCTCAGCTGGTCAGAAGTGTCCATCTGGGGAGTGCCCCAAACCTTTACACCCATTGGGTCTGAATGCTCAGTGTTCTTGCCTGAACATAGCAGTAGGATGTGGGGATACTATGGATTCAAGACAGCCTTCTGCCGAGACCGGGACTGAAAGGTCCCAGGTTCAATTCTGGGCAAGGGCATGTACATCGGTTGCGGGCACATCCCCAGTGGGGGATGTGCAGGAGGCAGCTGGTCGATGTTTCTCTCTCGTTGACGTTTCTGGCTCTCTATCTCTCTCCCTTCCTTTTCTCTGTAAAGTATCAATAAAATATATTTTTAAAACATAAAAATAAAAGACATAGCCTTCTTCTATTGTTTACCAGCAACCCGGTGTCCATAGGGTAGTCAACATCAACTGTCCAAGCTGGCTCAGTAGATCCTAGTTTGCCTTTTGGTTCAATGGCATAAAGAAGCCTCAATGGCTGCCCTAGCTGGTTTGGCTCAGTGGGTAGAGCGTTGGCCTGTGGACTGAAGGGTCGCTGGTTCGATTCCGGTCAAGGGCACATGCCCTGGTTTCGGGTTCGATCCCCAAGTGTGGGGCATGCAGGAGGCAGCCGATCCATGATCCTCTCTCATCATTGATGTTTCCATCTCTCTCTCCCTCTCCCTTCCTCTCTGATAGCAATAAAAATGTATTAACAGCAAAAAGGAGCCTCAATGGCCAGGTGGAAATCTCAGCCTCTATGCTGAGGCTCTGGTAGAAGCATCCTATGGTGGGACCAGCGGAGCTCAAAGCTGTGGGGATGGAAAGAGGCAACTTGAGAGAAGATTATTCGAGAATAGTCACATCCACTTTCACGTCTTTTTTTTTTTTTTAATATATGTTATTTATTTTTCACAGAGAGGAAAGGAGAGGGATAGAGAGTTAGAAACATCAATGAGAGAGAAACATCAATCAGCTGCCTCCCACACACCCCCTACTGGGGATGTGCCCGCAACCAAGGAACATGCCCTTGGCTGGAATCGAACCTGGAGCCCTTCAGTCCGCAGGCCGACGCTCCATCCACTGAGCCAAACTGGTTAGGGCTACCAGTTTTTCTAATGTCCCCTCTCAATTTCAGGATCCATTCCAGGGTTCCAATTTGCATTTAGAGCTATCACTTTTTTCCCCTATTCGTTTTGAAATTACAGATTCACAGGAAGTTGCAAAGATAGAGGGACCCTTCACCCTGTTTTCCTCAATGGTTACATCTTAGTTATGTATCATCTCATGTGTGGCTTTTGTGTGACCGCCGCTACAGTCTGGACACAACTGTCCCATCACCATCAGGATGTCCATCTAATTACCCTGTTAGAGCCACGCCGACCCCTCCAGCCGCCACCCCAATCCCTAGCAACCCCTGATCTGTTTGTCATCTCTCCAGTTTTGGAATTTCAAGAAGGTTGTATAAATGGGGTTGAATAATTTGGAAACATTTGGGATTGGGTTTTCTCAACATGTACCCCGGAGATTCATCCTGATGGTTGCGATGTCCACAGCTTGTCCCTTTTGAGGGTTGTATGGTTTTCCAGGGTATGCTCACTGTTCCAGTTAAGGACATAGAGGTGGTTTCCAGTTTTTCGCTATCCTAAATAAAACAGTTATGAACATTCAGAAACAAAACAACAATAAAAAAAAAAAAGTTCTACCTGGTTTGGCTCAGTGGATAGAGCACCGGATTGCAGACTGAAGGGTCCTGGGTTTGATTCTGGTCAAGGGCACATGCTTGGGTTGTGGGCTTGATCCCCAGTAGCAGTATGATCAATGATCCTTTTTCATCATTGATGTTTCTTCCTGTCTCCCTTCCTCTCTGAAATTAATAAAAATATAATAATAGCCGAAACCAGTTTGGCTCAATGGATAGAGCGTTGGTCTACGGACTGAAGGGTCCCAGTTTCGATTCCGGTCAAGGGCATGTACCTTGGTTGCGGGCACATCCCCAGTAGGGGGTGTGCAGGAGGCAGCTTGTCAATGTTTCTCTCTCATCGATGTTTCTAGCTCTCTATCTCTCTTCCTTCCTCTCTGTGAAAAATCAATCAAATATGTTTTTAAAAAATTATATATATATATATATATATATATATATATATATATATATAATGATAATAATAACAATAAGTGCCTATTCAAGCGAGTACAAATTGTTGCCCCTTCCAGATAAATGTGGTTTGATTCCATCAATCTGTCACCATGGGGCTAGTTGGACCCTCCCTGGGGATATTACCTTATAGGGGCTCAGTGTTGGTCTCTGATGTGGGCAGGCTGAGTACATAGCAGTGGCAGTGGCTGGGACCATGTCAATTGATGCCAGTCCCTGGAGCCTCACCACTCATTGCTGATTCCCTTCAGCTCGCTGGTGCCTCTGTATACTCACCTGGAGAGTATTGTGCTAAATGAAAGAAGCCAGTCAGAGAAAGACAAGCATCACATGCTCTCACATGTGGAATCTAATGAACAAAACAGATCCAGAGACATTGAAGCATGCAACAGATGGATGTGTTTCAGAGGGAAGGGTGGGGGAGTGGGAAGAAATTAACCAATGAACTTATATACATATATGCATAGCCCATGGCCAGGCAGTAGTGCAGGGAAGTCCTGGGGAGGGGAGGGGAATGGGGTAGAGGGCATCAATGGGGGGAGCAGAAAGGGGACATCTGCAATTCTTTCAATAATAAAGATAAATTTTTTTAAATTTCCTCATTAGCTGAAACCGGTTTGGCTCAGTGGATAGAGCATTGGCCTGTGGACTGAAGGGTCCCAGGTTCAATTCTGGTCATGGGCATGTACCTTGGTTTCTGGCACATCCCCAGTGGGGGGTGTGCAGGAGGTGGCTGATCGATGTTTCTCTCTCATCGATGTTTCTGGCTCTCTATCCCTCTCCCTTCCTCTCTGTATAAAATCAATAAAATATATATATTTTTTTAAAAACACCTCATTATACTCTCCTCAGTTCAATCCACTGAGTCTACCATCTGCTTCCTTCTGAGACCTTGACCAATCTACCTACCTAGCCATGTAGAACTCCCAGTGATGTCACAGGTGTGAATCAAAGGAAAGAGTGTCACGTGAAAGAGTGTCACGTGGCAGTAGGGGCCACAGAAATGAGAGCCACTTGCTGAAGCAACTTTTGGTGTGCTTTCCAGACCTACTGGAGTCCTGGCCCCAAATAGTCCACTTGCAGAGGATGTCAGCACCCAGTTTACCAGGGGCAGCTGAGGTGTCC